GTCACTGCTGCTGCTGTCACTGCTGCTGCTGTCACTGCTGTTGCTGTCACTGCTGCTGCTGTCACTGCTGCTGCTGTCACTGCTGCTGCTGTCACTGCTGCTGCTGTCACTGCTGCTGCTGTCACTGCTGCTGCTGTCACTGCTGCTGCTGTCACTGCTGCTGCTGTCACTGCTGCTGCTGTCACTGCTGCTGCTGTCACTGCTGCTGCTGTCACTGCTGCTGCTGTCACTGCTGCTGCTGTCACTGCTGCTGCTGTCACTGCTGCTGCTGTCACTGCTGCTGCTGTCACTGCTGCTGCTGTCACTGCTGCTGCTGTCACTGCTGCTGCTGTCACTGCTGCTGCTGTCACTGCTGCTGCTGTCACTGCTGCTGCTGTCACTGCTGCTGCTGTCACTGCTGCTGCTGTCACTGCTGCTGCTGTCACTGCTGCTGCTGTCACTGCTGCTGCTGTCACTGCTGCTGCTGTCACTGCTGCTGCTGTCACTGCTGCTGCTGTCACTGCTGCTGCTGTCACTGCTGCTGCTGTCACTGCTGCTGCTGTCACTGCTGCTGCTGTCACTGCTGCTGCTGTCACTGCTGCTGCTGTCACTGCTGCTGCTGTCACTGCTGCTGCTGTCACTGCTGCTGCTGTCACTGCTGCTGCTGTCACTGCTGCTGCTGTCACTGCTGCTGCTGTCACTGCTGCTGCTGTCACTGCTGCTGCTGTCACTGCTGCTGCTGTCACTGCTGCTGCTGTCACTGCTGCTGCTGTCACTGCTGCTGCTGTCACTGCTGCTGCTGTCACTGCTGCTGCTGTCACTGCTGCTGCTGTCACTGCTGCTGCTGTCACTGCTGCTGCTGTCACTGCTGCTGCTGTCACTGCTGCTGCTGTCACTGCTGCTGCTGTCACTGCTGCTGCTGTCACTGCTGCTGCTGTCACTGCTGCTGCTGTCACTGCTGCTGCTGTCACTGCTGCTGCTGTCACTGCTGCTGCTGTCACTGCTGCTGCTGTCACTGCTGCTGCTGTCACTGCTGCTGCTGTCACTGCTGCTGCTGTCACTGCTGCTGCTGTCACTGCTGCTGCTGTCACTGCTGCTGCTGTCACTGCTGCTGCTGTCACTGCTGCTGCTGTCACTGCTGCTGCTGTCACTGCTGCTGCTGTCACTGCTGCTGCTGTCACTGCTGCTGCTGTCACTGCTGCTGCTGTCACTGCTGCTGCTGTCACTGCTGCTGCTGTCACTGCTGCTGCTGTCACTGCTGCTGCTGTCACTGCTGCTGCTGTCACTGCTGCTGCTGTCACTGCTGCTGCTGTCACTGNCGTGTAACACCGCCGTAACTGCGTGTAACACCGCCGTAACTGCGTGTAACACCGCCGTAACTGCGTGGAATATCGCCGTAACTGCGTGTAACATCGCCGTTACTGCGTGTAACACCGCCGTAACTGCGTTCATCGTCTTTTATTATTAATTAATTAATTAGCTGCTCAGTCATTTCTATCCGTTGAAGACTTCTGGTAGACTATGCATCAGATGAATAATATTAATAATAATTGTATTAATAATTAAATTATTATTTTTAACTGTAATATTAATAATAATTATGATAATAATAATAATAATGGTAACACAACAACTTAAAAGCCAATGAAATAATATTCTCAAATATGATTCAGGTTTATCAACAAAAGAAAATATCAACACACATTAAAATGTACGAAATAAAATATAAAATGGTGAGGGAGAAATTCAAGTTCAATATAACAAATATGAGATCAAGATCGTATGTACAACCAGAATGTAATTTAGATAAATTAACAAACATATTAACTACATAAATTACAACCCTTCATATACATAGTAAAAATCCTATAACTATAATTTTTAGAACAGCATATGCAAATTAATTAACTTTTTGCAGCAAATTCTCACAAAGCATCATTATTGTAAATACATTAAATAAATAAAATTTCTCACGCCTTTTATATCGAGTGTGAAGAATGCAGTGTAAGGAATGCGAGGTCGGCATTCGAGCGCCGCTATGTTCACAGAAATATTCTTGAGCCCCAAGTACAGTCGCACGAAAAAGCGCACGGAAATATTCCTGAGCCTCAAGCACAGCCGCATGCAATAGAAAGACTCGTGCAAAATACGCACAGTGACATGTGTTAGTGACTCATGCGTGGCATTATTATTATTATTATTATTATTATTATTATTATTATTATTATTATTATTATTATTATTATAACTTATATGTTAATAAGATATATTAAAACCCATCATACACAGAGTAAAAATCTCATTACTATGATGAATAATAGCCGTGAAAATATTTAAGAACAGCACCTGCAAATTAATTAACTTATAAGCAGCAAATTCGTACAACACATCATTATTGTACGTACATTCAATAAATAAAGTTTCTCACGCCTTTTCTATCGAGTGAAAAGAATGCAGTGTAAAGAATGCGAGGCCGCTATGTTCACTGAAATATTTATTTAGTACACTGAAATATACGAAAAACGCACTGAAATATTCTTGAGCCCCAAGTACAGTCAGTCGCACGAAAAACGCACGGAAATATTCTCGAGCCTCAAGTACAGCCGCATGAAAAACGCGTTGAAATATTCTTGAGCCTCAAGTACAGCCGCATGAAAAACGCACGGAAATATTCTTGAGCCTTAAGTACAGTCGCACGAAAAACGCACAAAAATATTCTTGAGCCTCAAGTACAGTCGCATGCAATAGAAAGACTCGTACAAAATACGTACAGTGACATGTGTTAGTGACACATGCGTGGCTATGGCACCGCTGGTACATAATCCCTGGAAAATTGAATTAGCCTTATTATTGTCCATGCAAATAGCGACCCATCTTCTTACTCACATCTCGCTCAGAGAGCGGAAGTATATCCTCCAATAAGCCCTTTTTGCCGAGCCAAACTAGGTCAGGATGATCCACGCATGGGGCATAAGGTGCATAGCTATTTTCACAAAGTTTCCACATTTTCGTGAGTGAAACGCTTTACGAACTCATTAAAGCGTCTTGAATCTATTCAGACCCTGTAAGAATTCTTATGCATTTTCTTCGAATTAATTCAGATTCTCTTCAAATCAATTCAAACATACTACGAATTCATATTCTTTATCCAAAATTTCGTCGGCACCTTCTTCAAATTCACCAAAATTCCGCGAATATTTCATGAATTCGTTAACGCCTGCCGTCCTCTAACCGTCCGCCATTCATGGTCCCGGCCACACAATTTCCAGCGCCTGTGGCTATTGAATAATTTTTAGAAATTTTGGCTATTGAATTATTATTCCACCCGAGTCTGAGTTGTATATACATTCCCGGCTGAAATGTGATTTGGAAGGGGTTGTTTTAGGCCATATTGTACACGAATTTTAATGGAAATGTGTAAATACTTGAGAATGTCATCCGTCTTGTTTTTTGGAGGGCCATTTAAAACAAAAAGCAGGAAGAAAATATTTATACATGTGCACAGATTCGTCCAATATATAGACATATAGTTCAAGTCAAGTATATTATTCAAGTCGTCCATTATACAAACATGATTCAACATACCCAACCACCACGACCGCAGCATGAACCCGCTAGGGCAGCGTTGAACAGTTCAAAACGCAACCGCCGCAGGTGACGAATCTTTATTTCCCGACACTTTTTTCTTGCCTCTTTTTTCATGATAGTTTTTCCACTGATTTTTTCAGGGCTGCCTTTTTTTCGTGTCGTGCAATTTGAGCAAACGCCGAGGATCGCCCCAGGGAAGAGCAGAGCTGAGTCTCACGCCGCAATATCGGGCGATGCGATGCGACTTTACTTTTGTTGTTTGCTGCTGCATTTTTTGCTGTGGGTTCACTCTTCAGGAGAAAAAAATGACATCTCATATCAATATTATTCAGAATAAAATTTTTGTTGTTTGCTGCTGCATTATTCGTAGCTGTGGGTTCACTCTTAAGGAGAAAAAAATGTGATTTCTCATATCACTATTACTCAGAGTACAAGTGTTTTCGATGGTGGATTCAGAAACCTTAATTGTTATTCAGAACAGGAGTGTTCTTCATGTTTATTTCATTGGATATCACACTGGTGAAAATTTTCCTTAATTTGCACATTACGGGAAGTTTGTTTTGGCAATTAATTATATTAATTGAAGTTACAATCTGTAAAACACCATTGCTACAGTGCGCGGTGCAGCCGTGCACCGCTGCTACAGTGCGCGGTGTAGCCGTACACCGTTGCTACAGTGCACGGTGTAGCCGTACACCGTTGCTACAGTGCACGGTGTAGCTGTGCACCGCTGCTACAGTGCGCGGTGTAGCTGTGCACCGCTGCTACAGTGCGCGGTGTAGCCGTACACCGTTGCTACAGTGCACGGTGTAGCCGTGCACCGCTGCTACAGTGCGCGGTGTAGCCGTACACCGTTGCTACATTGCACGATGTAGCTGTGCACCGCTGCTACAGTGCGCGGTGCAACAGCACAAACGTAGAAAGATTCTGAGTGGCAATTTATGGACTATTGAGAGCGCCCGGATTGCCACGCGGTGAGCTAAAAATTTCCGCGCAATCAATTTCCATTTTATTCGAATTTCCTTTCCTTCCTTTCCCCCCATCCTCCAATCCTTTTCCCTCCTTTCCCCCAAACTTTTTCTCCAGTTGCGACTAATTTTCTTTTTGAGATTTTTGTTGGTTTTCAAAATTTATCATTTTCTGGTTGGTGTTATTTTCCGGTCAGCCTCGACATTCTTTGAAGAACGTCTTATCTTAAGTCGTGGCTACTCAATTATTTAGGCTATTAGGCCTTGCCTAATTAGGCTATTAGGCCTAGCATAATTTGGGTATTAGGCATAGTCTAATTAGGCTATTAGGCCTAGCCTATTATTATGGCTGATAGGGTAAGCGGCTGAGGTTTCTGCACCGCTGACATACGGGTAAATTTTGTTATTTCAATTCTTAAATTCTATTATTTGAATATTTGTGATTGAATTATTCCTGTTTTCCAGATGGCAGCTCCAGACACACCTGGCAACCGCCCACCTGGTGGGGATGGCCCTCCCCTGCGCCACCCCCACAACTTCAACTCATTCCAGTTCGTGTCACAGTTGATATCGGCAACGCCTCCTTACCTCTTCAACATGACCTCACCTTTCCACGGTAATTTCTTCAGCGACCTCCTGCGTCGCATGGCACCACGGGGCCCAGGTCAGCCTCCTGACGCGGCTCTACAGCAGCACCTGAGGGCGGCGCTGCTTGCCAAAGGATCGCCCCCGTCGATGCCGCATCTTCCTCCGCAACTTGATATTCCCCTGCATCGTTCCCATCCGCTGTACGAAGACAAAGGGCTTAAGAGGTCCCTCTACAGCGACGGTATCGCATCCAGTGACGCGGATTTGGGTATCAAAAGAGCACGGATGGATGATGATCGTATAAGTCGGCCCGCCGAGGCCCTTCAGGCCCCTCTGCTAATGCAGCCTCCTTTCCTGCACTCGCCTGTCCCTCCCCCTCCGGATGTCCTTTCACCGTGGGCTGCTCACGCTTCCCTCTTGCGTCCTCAGGTTCCACTTCCAGCGCATCTCCCTCCTCCACCCATCGATCCATACAGGCTTCTCTTGGACCTGCGTTTGGCTGGGCAGCTAAGGTCCTTTGCCTCAGGACCTCCCAAGGACCTGCCTGTACCTCCACCTCTTCCGCCGTCGTCCAATGGCTCGTCAGTGATGCCTCCTCTGCACTTAGGTCGTCCATCGCCAGTATCTTCGTCACGTACTGCCCATGAGGACACACAACCTTCCAGCACGAGTGTCCTGCGTGGCAGCGACGATCGCATCTCAGCTTTCCATCCTCCAGGACGCGAGGTTCCGGAAACCAGCGACGAAGAAGGAGGAGTGGAGCGTCGGAGCCACAGCAGCAGCAGTGGCTGTAGTAATGCCAGTAAAGAAAGTCTCGGTACTCAGTATATCTTCAGACACCTCACGCAAATTTACCGCAGCATCGACGGCCAGAGGGAGGACGGGTCCAAGCAACCCGACAGCAGCAGCGAGAGGCCGGAATCTCCGGAAGATCGCAAGAAAAATTCCCAGCCTGACGCCAACGAAACTGAAGCAAAGACCACCGAGTAGCCATGCAGAGCCATTGCTTGTAAATCATTTCGTGCAATATCATAATATAATTCACGATATAGTCAATCCCTAAGTCATTCTTCATGACAATAAATCGTTTAGTAAAGTTAAGATCAACCTTAGTAGAATAGAGGGACATAGATGCTGTACATAAACTGCACTTCGTATATGTAATTTGATGGTATGAATGTATAGCATAGGTTGCAGCAGCTATAGTGAATCCGGCATTGCCGATTAAGCCACATTTTGGCTGTTCCAGATAAAGCAGAATCAGAACAGCTAACTTTTGGTTTCAAACCAGCAACTCACTGCTCCAACATTGTTTCCCTTTTTCCTTTAATCGCTTTGCCGCATCTCCAATTTTTACCTAAATTTAAACGATTAGTTCCGGGTTTCAAACCAGCAACTCACTCTTCAATTCGGGTGATCTGCTAATTTTTCCAGTGTAAATGCAGGAATAAAAGTCATGTGAATATGTATATCAGGTAATGAATTCATGATGCAACCTTAGCTGAAGAATTTTTAATCATTTTATATATGTTTTTTCCCCATTCTTATGCAAGACTTTCGACCATTTGCAAATGTATGTTCGGGAAGAAAGAAGTAGGATTGATATTTCGTTTTTCGGAGAATTTATTGAAAAATTTAAATTCGCAACATCTTTAAAATTGTATGACTTTAAGGTCGTAAAACCGTTTTTTTTATATATTTATTACATAATAAAAGAAATTTCCATCATGTCAGGCAATTATAGTAAAACCATCACTATATTAATTAATTCTAAATTTCATCACATTACTTATCATTAGCAAATTTTTCATATTGAAAGAAGAATAATATCAATATTTTCTTTACTGCTTGTTCATTATTACGTTATTATACGTATATTTATTGGTTGACTTCGATATCGAGTCGTCTCATTCGAGAAACTAATTATAAAATAACCGTAATAGTTTTAAAGTTTCCATAACATTCTATTAAATCAATGAATATTATGATAAATATAAGATGTACAAAGTATGAACTAGTCACGTTAATTCATTCTTTACATGAATCGTCATTAATTACAAACAGTCACTCATAGTTTGTTAACAAAAGACAAATAGCGCAATATTTCGAGTGCAATTCAGGTGTTGTCATCATTATATTAATTTATGTTCATTTGTTATATTGATTGATTCAATTTTCGTTGTGTCATTTAAAACAATATGTTCGTCATTGTTTATAAAGGCATGATAGTGCCGTTTCACCCTAGAATTTACGAAAGCGTTTAAAATATCTATAATCAAGGACAGTTGATTAACAATCAGGATCTAACTTATAATGATTGGTTTTATAATTTTGCTTCGCTGAAAATTGTTCAATTATGGCAAGATTTTTAGACAAGTGTCTTTACACTTGAAAATTTATTTTGTAATTAATGTTTCGCAAGAAGGTTCGAATCAATTATAAGCCATCTAAATGTATATTATTAATACACATTAATCATAATTTTTAAATTCCATGCAAAAACGACTAAAATTTACTTAGAAATCCGTTGTAGTCGCGCGTGTGTCCTGTGTAAATAAATATTCCGCTTTCAGGTATCTGTGTCGTGAACTTCATGTTGTTGCCTAACTTATTCTCATTAGATAGACTTCGGAATATGTATAAATATATACCAAATCCCATGCAGCTGGAAACCATTACTGAATAAATATATCGAATCTTGTGTTGTTTGAATAATATTCTCTATAATATGGCGGTTATGACTACGTTTTATTGTTTTGCCTTTCGAACTTTGATAAATTTTGATTGATGATTTAACTTGAGTATGTAATGGATTGAAATTACCATATGAATGAACATGAATACAAGTAAACTATCGGATATAATATCGCCAACTTGCTCCATGTGCCAAAACTTTTAAATGGAGAGAAAACTCTATCAACACGTATTCAGGAACAACTATTCATTTACCTCGTTATTAGGGAATCTGTTGTGAGAGATTGACTGATCGATCATTTGACTGCTAATAATCTCCTATCAGACTGTTAACATGGCTTTATTGCCGGGAGATCCGGCACCACTAACCTCTTGTCTACTCTGAACGAATGGACCCGCCTGTTGGACGAAAGGAAGCCAGTGGATGCATTGTACCTCGATTTTGCCAAGGCATTTGACAGTGTCCCACATGAGCGGCTGTTGCGTAAATTGAAGTCTTTGGGAATTGAGAGTAACGTCCTCTAATGGATCAGAAATTTTTTAGTAGGGAGACGACAGCGTTTTAGTATTATTAGGTCCGTATCAGACTGGGCTTCAGTGCGCAGCGGCGTGCCACAAGGAAGCGTTCTCGGGCCTGTTTTATTCGTTGCGTTTATAAATGATCTGCCAGAAGCTGTGTCTAGCGTGTGCTCGATGGATGCTGACGACACAAAAATTTGTAATACAGTGAAGAATACGTCGCAAAAAGTACTGCTGCAAGGTGATTTTGACAGGTTAGTTGACTGGGCTGATGAGTGGCAGCTGCGTTTTAACGCTGACAAATGTAAATTAATCTACATTGGAAAGAATAATGAACTGCAAGATTATAGTATGAGAAGACAAGGTTGCAACGACAGAGTGATTACATCGATGTCTACAATGGAAAAAGATTTAGGAGTTAATATCGACAATGAGTTGAAATTTTCTAAGCATCGTGAAGGTCAAGTTAATAAAGCCAATAAACGACTTGGACTGATCAGACGCTCTTTCGAATTCCTAGATGCAGAAACAATGAAGCAGTTGTTTGTTTCTGTCATGCGCCCGAACCTAGAGTTTGGAAACGTCGTGTGCAGTGTACCTCGATTTTGCCAAGGCATTTGACAGTGTCCTACATGAGCGGCTGTTGCGTAAATTGAAGTCTTTGGGAATTGAGAGTAACGTACTTTAATGGATCAGAAATTTTATAGTAGGGAGACGACAGCGTTTTAGTATTATTAGGTCCGTATCAGACTGGGCTTCAGTGAGCAGCGGCGTGCCACAAGGAAGCGTTCTCGGGCCTGTTTTATTCGTTGCGTTTATAAACGATCTGCCAGAAGCTGTATCTAGCGTGTGCTCGATGGATGCTGACGACACAAAAATTTATAATACAGTGAAGAATACGTCGCAAAAAGTACAGCTGCAAGGTGATTTTGACAGGTTAGTTGACTGGGCGGATGAGTGGCAGCTGCGTTTTAACGCTGACAAATGTAAAGTAATCTACATTGGCAAGAATAATGAACTGCAAGATTATAGTATGAGAAGACAAGGTTGCAACGACAGAGTTATTACATCCATGTCGACAATGGAAAAAGATTTAGGAGTTTATATCGACAATGAGTTGAAATTTTCTAAGCATAGTGAAGGCCAAGTTAATAAAGCCAATAAGCCACTTGGACTTATCAGACGTCAAGAATTTAGTCGAGAGTGTTCAAATACGTGCAGCAAGGATAATTCCGGGCTTGAAAGGGGCATGTCCTATGAGGAAAGATTAAAGATTATAGAATAGAATAAAAGTGTCGGCACTGAAGAAATAGGCGCATAGCCTGTTGCCGATTCTTGTACTTTTCGCGACTTGATTCACTAGAGATCGGCCTTTGGAACCCGATCTTTCCATAACTGACGATTGATTGAGATAGCTGCTGGACTTATTGTCTGGGTCCGTAAGGTGCTAGGCTAGGCTAGGGTCAACGATGCTGTTGGGGAGGCTCTTCCACATGTCGGTGACTCGAAGCGAGAAAAAATGTTGTCGCATGGATGTGTTACAACGCAGTTTTCGAGAAGACACGGCTATGAAGCTTCCAAGCCTCAGTTATCGACGTCTGTGTGGTGACCTCATTGAATTATACAAGTATACTCATGGTTTATACAAGGTCCCAGAAGGATTACTAGAATTTGAAACAAGAACCAACACCAGGGGCCACGGCTGTAAACTAAAAAACTGAGTTGAAACACATCCATGCGACAACACTTCTTCTCGCTTCGAGCCACCAACATGTGGAACAGCCCGCCTGATAGCCTCGTTGACGTTCTGAGTATGAACGTCTTCATGAACAGACTAGACGAAGCTATGCAGGAGCATATGTTCAGTCTTAAAATGCCAAGCATCTTACGGACCAGGCAACAAGTCCAGCAGCTATCTCAATCAATCGTCAGTTATGGAAAGATCATGTTCAAAAGGCCGGATCCCTTGTGAATCAAGTCACGAAAAGTACATGAATTGGCAACAGGCATTAATTGAGCCCATTTCTTCTGTGCCGACACTTCTATTCTATTATGAAACGTGCGGTGCATACATGCCATAGAATCAAGATGTACAAAGTACTGAAGAGACACATTAATTAACATTAACTGGACCACTCCTGGAGCAGGGTGTTACAGTGGTTAAGGCGCCGAGTACCAAGATTGGAACATAGAGCTGCAGATTCGATCCCAGCTACCTGCGCCAGTTTCTGGTCAGAATCGTGGAGGAGCCCGGGCGGTTAAGCACAGCAGAATTGTGGCAGTGAGGTGCAAGTTCGGGACCGCCACAAGCTGTAAATGTTCTGCGATGTTATAAATCGGCGACGGGTATGCGGCCTAATAAACGCTGAAACCGCTGTACTATTATCATTAATTTGCCGCATGTCTCACCATTAATTACCAAAATAGATTACGCATGCTTCACGTAAGAACCATTGCAGGTAACATCACCTCAAAATCCAATGTAAAGTATGATGCACTTTATATAGTTTGAGAGTAGTTTTTACGGTATATAAGAGAGGTTATTTCTAATTCAATCCGAAATTTACGTTGTTTGATTGAATTTAGCGATAAAAAGTATAGCGGCGTTACCCTCGTTAGCAGGTGCTGACGTGTGTAAACAAACCGAAATACCGAATGCTGCAGCAGCTGACGTGAGGGTTGAACTTTGGTTGTACGTAAAAATTATTGTTATTACACGGTTCTAAATCGTTACATTTCAAAATGACTTCTGCTGAAATTGATGAACTTTTTGAAGTAAAGAATTCATTGTATATTGGGAATTATCAACATTGTATCAATGAAGCTCAGAAAGTAAAGGTGAGTTGAAAATGGTGTTCATGCACATTGCACTTTGACTTCAATAACATTGACATTTGACAGTACTAAGTTGCAAAAGTGAAGCCAAAATTCCGACGACTCCGGTCATTTCTGACCACCCGTTAGTTGTGAGATGTTTTTAGCTAAAAATATGACAATAAATTCAATAAAAAATATAGATATTTTTAATTTCCTGATTTAGTTATTTTAGTTGGAGTTCTAGAGGGCTATTAAATTAACCAGCACACATGGCATCGGTGACATCTGCTTCTTTGCTGCCGTTGTTTCGTCAACGCCTAAAAACAGAACTTTTCCGTAGAGCCTTTGAATCTTAGACCTAGCCGTCATCTAATCTATTATGTATATTACTGGTTTAGCATAGGTGTTGTTTGTTCTAGCATAGACGTCGTCAGTCTTGGCATATGTCCTTTGTTTTAGCATAGACGTCATCTGTTTTTATCCTCTCATGTCTTTTTTAGCCACTTGTAACGTGCCCTCGAAGTTTGATCCGAACGAGACGCCACGACAATCTTTTTGTGGAATAATAATAATAATGATACTGGACCAGGGCATAGCCATGACAATCAGGCATATTGATATTGGTCACAACCAATTAAGCAATCAGTGTAGAATTCTGGATTATACATAGTGGCAATCATAGTGGCAAAGCAGAGAGTTTTTTAGACTCTCCCTCAACGGCCTCAAGTTCATTTTTGAGTCCTATAAGTAGACCAGTAAAGTATCCTGGATACCAGCAGTATCATACTTGAGAAATTGGTTTAAATCTTGAGTAAATGAAGAAATTAAAAATGAACTGATTCTAAAAAAGCTCTGGTTTGCCACTATGGTGGCAATCTATTGTTTTAGCCTACTCATTTTTAGACACATTCAAATACGGTACTTGAATTCAGATCATATTTTCTAACTAGACCTAAAACTTCTTTAAATAAAATAAATTAATAATGGTTAGCCACTTCACATTCCATAGTTTTCAAATTTATTCAATTACAAATTTACAACTAGGGTGAATGCGATATATTCTGACACTTTAAGGATGTAGCAAAAAAGGAATGGCTATAAAAAATACACCATATGCGCATCTCAAGTTCTGCTTGCTTTACGTTACTCTCAAAACACCGCACTACGCGTCAGAAACAATGAAATGTCACAAAATGTTGCCATATTTATTTAAAAGCCTTAAAATGCAAACCTACCAAATCCATATATTCTGACACTGTGTGTGAGTCAGTATGACTAAATTTGGCATTTTGTGAGACTAATTCCGGCCATCATTGGCCATGCTTCAAACTCTACTAATTTGTAATGCCAATACTCTCGTGTTCAAATTCCGATCGCCGTATGAGATGTATTTGTATTGGAATATGACACAGCTTGGAATTAGAATACTATTGAATATTGTATACCACTTATTTAGGCTTTCAATTTAAGAGCTATTAAGCTTTTAACTAAGAAAATTTTAATTTTTGCACACAGCTTGGAACAAGCTGTGTGTGTCTAATTCCAAGCTGTGTCGGAATTAGTTTTTATGTGTCTAAAACTGTCTCTTAACTTAATCATCTATTAATTTTTTTATCACTCGAAATCAGCAAATACAAGTAGGTATAAATGAAGGATTCCTAATATATTCACAGACGTATTTAAAAGTCTCAAACCATAATATTCTTTCTAGTTTCTACACAAACAGTTAATCACTATTTGGTAGAGCAAGGTCAACTATCAACTTTGACTAGTTTTTTGATGTTCTCACTGGGTGACACGCACTGTCTCTCTTTGGATCTCAACATTTTCCCGCCAAGACAGCCCAGATCTGGTGTTTTGGCAATAGTATGGCGCTCAAAAGTATGACGTCACTATTTCAACCATCAAGGAATGCATGGAACTAAGAAAAAGCTTGATATAAAGGAAAAAAGTCGAAAAAAGTCAGAAATACCCACGATGTCGGAATATACCGCGTTTACCCTACTACGGTTGTGTGTCTGCTCTCATAACTTTAATTATTCAATTATAAGTACCGTCAACCAGGGCTACTCGGGACGGTTTTGAGCAATTTTTGTTAATAACTTCTTACCATGAAACATTTCAGAAACAAGTTTAGTTTCATTTTATAGCTCGTTGCGAGGGCTATCGAATGGCATCTTCAAAAAAATTCCATATGCTATTTGTAAGATGCCAGAAGCAAAAAAAGTGTCCCGAGTAGCCCTGTCGAATGTATCGAAGCAAACAGCCAAAAAATTTACCATTTAAGAATGAAAGAGTTGTGAACTCCAGCTCTATAATCAGTTCAAAACCTCAGTACGGTATAAGAATAGCAGAAGCAATTAGAAAACTAAAATTCACATTGAAGATGAAAACCTAAATTGACTAAGGAAAAACAAGTTTATGTGAAGTGGAAGGCCCCAGGCTTGCAAGCTGTAGACTCCACTGTGTGGAGTCTAGAGAGTGGGTGAATATTGCAAGATCTTTGGCAACGCTTCAGCAGCTAAATGTACACCTTCAAAAGATCTTGCAACACATTTGGATTGAAATCATTGCATTTAAGATATTTGCCAGTCTTTGGCCAACTATTACGAAAAAAAGTAAGGTTTCCGATACATTGATGGATCAGGATGCAATGAAGCTTGTCCAGAAATCAGTTGTGATGAGTTCCCGCCAAAATATACAATCCGTCCATAGCGCCGCATGTCCACAGTCACAAAATAAGCTTGCCAAAGGTAAACATGGCCAAATTGCATCTGGCCAAACCTCCTCTGGCCTAACCTCTTCAGGCCTAACCTATACGAGCGGCAACCTTTCTCCGCCCAAAACAAACCTGAGTGGACCTAACCTAACCTCATTGGCTACTAGAAGTTGGAAAGGCAGTCCAAGTGTGCTTGTAGAGCCAGTCATTGGCTGCATGAAGGTTGTGAGCCGGGACAGCGTGAATAAGTTAGGCCAGAAGAGGTTAGGCTGTAGTAGGTACAGCCAGAGGGAGAACTGCCTGCTTATGAGCAAGCGTGCGTAAGCATTGGCTGAAGACCTACAGCAATATTATCTTTTGGAAGTTTGTTGCTTGTCTGGATTTCGGAGTTCATGCATAGTCTGCGGCTTCTAGTTCTGCGGCTTAGTAAAGATAATGCAGGGTGAAGCTAGGCGTTGGCCTCAGGGCTTATTTGAGAGTAAAATTTGTGGCCTACAGCTGCGCCTCCTATTATCACATGTTCTGATGACAGTTGAGTGAAGACAAATGTTAGGTTTGCTGTACAATTGTACTGTTTTTAGGGTAAAATTAGTTATTTGGGGTAAAATGTGCATGTGACCTTGTAAATAAGTTTGTGGCTTGTAAATAGTTCTTCATTACCTGGCTTAAATGGCTTTTCATTAAAAATTACCCAGCAACAATTTTGAAAATGGTTGGCAACGCTTTTGGCTTGAAAACCCATTTGTTGGCAATGCTGTTTCACCCTCTGCACCCTGGTGTAGAGTAGGGCCTCTTAGTTCATGCTATTGGTGTCTTTTGAAGATCTTCATCAGCCATCTTGACCTTACATTGGTGTCCCAGTTGCTGTGGTCTGCAAGGTACCTACAGCTTGTGTGCCAGAGGTTCATTTTGGGATATACGCCTGTATGACAGGAAAGAAAGCTGCCATTTTTCTTGCTAGAAAAACAAAAGTGCATCTCTGAACAATGCCCAATGAGCAACACTTGTGCGCTAGCTTTACAATCGATTTGGCTGATGCTTGATGACTGACAATGACGCATGCACTTGCCTGATTGACGCGGCAGTCGCGGCTTATGCTCAATGATCAACACTGACAAACGCACTTTACAATTGATATAGCAGATGCCTTAAGATCAACACTTATGCACATGCACTCACTTTGCAACCAATGTTGTTGTTGTAATAGCCCATCCTGGCAGTGGTGACTAGGGAGGAGTGGTGATAGGTCAGTTTTTCCGGGCACTCGGTGCCACTGGTAGTTCCACGACCATCACTGGCTTTCTGACCCACGAGAACCATTTGGTTGCATTACACAACACCATGGACAAGCCAGGTACTCATTTATCAACCAGAGTTGGATGAATGGCTGAGTTGACCATGAGCTGAGCTTCCAAGTAGAACTTGTCCTCAGTGGGACCCGAACCCGGGCGCTGGGTTCAAGAGACAGAATCTCTCACCACTGCACCACACAGCTGCTGCAACCAATGTAGTTGCCATGGTCAGGAAGATGTGCCAGGTGCACCGGAATTGATATTGTCATTTTATCAATCTGCGCCATGCATTGTAATATGCTGGTAAGAAAATGCGCCGAAAGTTGTTTGATGATGAATGCGCGGCAACGGGCCGCAACACCATCACGCACAAACGTATATCTGCATCGAGTTGACTAGATTTCTAACGTGTTAGCCCAGGTCCTAAGAGTTGGCACAGTTATGAATATTTATTAATTATTCAAAGGTCACAATTTGGTTGGACATGAATTACAAAACTGAAGAATAGAAGGTGACAATCCACATGGCTTTAGATTGTTGCCTTCTTATGGACTGATTTTGGCAAATAGTACAAACCTGTACCATCAAACGGTGTAAAAAGGGACGAATTTAAGCATTTTTTATTAATAACTTCTTACCATGAAACAAGTTTAGGCTTCAGAAACAAGTTTAGGCTCATTTTATAGCTCTTTGCGAGGGCTATCCGATGGCATCTTGAAAAAATTCCATATGCTATTCGTAAGGTGCCAGATGCAAAATAAAACTGTCCCAATTTACCCCTCAAAGCGGGGTAATCTGGGACACTTGCAATAAAAGTTTATTTTAAAACGTTTGAAGCATGCAGAGTGTACTCATCCATTACTAACAGTACTTTTAAGTCCTCCTCTTTCTTTATAGATAATGTAGATGTAGAATAAATGACATTTTTTGTGATTTTTACTTGTTTTTCCTTTATTGATATTATATTATCATATTCATTAATTACCGTATTATTGATGTGATATTACTGT